CTTCTGAGGTCCCTTCCAGCCCTAATGTCTATGAAATATAAACAGACCTGCCAGCAGTGACCAGAATGTCTGCTGGGAAGGAGGATTTCTATATGCCCCAAGCCCAAACTTCTACTTTCTTGTTGTTCTTCTGGCCCCATGAGTCTTGCATTCAGCTGCCCAGTAGCAAGAGAACAGAAGGGGTGCTCCTATGTAGGGGATTCTACAGCATGGTGGATAGGGAACTTTCCTGGGAAGTAGAAGATGAGGTCTGAATTCATAAAGAGGATTTATAGCCCTTCAATTTCTGGGTAAGTACTCTAGCTATTAAGCAAAAAGTGAGCACCATCAGCATCAATCCAATTTTCTAGAGAGTGACTGCAGATGCTGCACTGTATATTGAAGTAAATGACGCCTTTGTAAGTGGGCACCTACTGTAGCAGACTTAGAGGGATGTCAGACTCCTCCCAGCTGCTCCCTTGGATTACAATGGAGTTTAGGCAGGAGTTTTAAGTGCCTGACTGCTTGAACTGTATTGCTTCTGAGCATGTGCACAGGCCACAGCCTAGGTACCTAGGAATGTATTTAGGCCAAAATGGATAAAGCTCTTACAGTGCCCAAGAGCCATGTCACAGAGACAATCTGGCTTGCTTTGTGTAATTTAGGTACCTACATTCCACATAAGTGCTGTTTCAGCAGCTTGTTGACCAATCTGGATCTGGCCTTAAGTTATTTTACCCAAAATTACAAAGGTGACTGTTAGGCTCAAGTGCAGAATCCAGCTTTCCCAAGTCAGTCCAGCGCTTCAGGTCTCAGGCAATCATACTCTCCCTTATTTCACTAGATTTGGGCACTTACTCTATGGCACTTAACAACATCTTTTTCCTCACTGAAGCTATTTGTTCCACTGTAAAGACTGACCAGAAGAAACTCTCCCCCCAGTGTCGCTAAAATTCAAAAGAACAAGAAGTTGAACAAACCTTCCTGCCCCCATAGAGTCCTGGAGGATTCTGTGTAGCAAAGAGCATGAATCGAGGGTGTGCCTTGACAAGTTCTTGTGTCTCTGTTATAAACAGCTCTCGATTATCATCTAACAGTCTGTTGAGTGCCTCTAGAACATCTGTGGGAGCCAAATTCAGCTCATCTAGGATAATCCAGTAGCCTTTTCTCATTGCATCAATGAGGACACCTTTGAGGCAACAGAAAATGTTCTGATTAAATATTTAATTTAATTTAATTTAATTTAAAAGCAAATAATCAATCTTAGTGAGTTTTCTCTTGGTGTAAGAGCTAGATCAAAATAAGTGTGCAGTAAAACTGTTAAATCTTCTTTTTCTCCCTTCCCTTCTCTCAGTGCAATTGACTACGGAACAAGGGATGGAAAAACAAATGAAACACTAAGAAGTCCTTAAAATACATACCCATGTAAAGATAAGCAGTACAAGAAACATTTGCAACTGAATTGTAAGTAATTGTATGGATACACGTCTGCACTGTAGGAACTGTGATTATGAAAAGACTACAGGTGGAAAGGAGGAAAATAAAACAAAAGGGACAGAACTTGAGACATGTAATGAAAGATATAATTTACCTTCCTTAAAAATCAGCTTCCCATTAGTGTCTGATGTATAACAGCCAATATACTCCTGGATATCAGTATGCTCATGATTGTTAATTCTCACGCAGTGGTTCCCACAAGCAGCAGCCAACCAGCGAATTAAACTGGTCTTACCAACTGAGGTCTCTCCTTGAATCAGCAATGGGTGAGTCCTTCAAGGGTTAATCAAGACAAGAGTTTCAGAGTAATATTTTAGATGGGTTTAGCAGTGTATGCTATATGCACATGAGAAGGAAACAGTATCCTTTTGCACTGTCTGAATTTGCACAGGGCTTCATATAATAAACCAAGAAATATTAAGAGATGGCAAACAGACTGACAGAATCTTGCTGAGTCTCTTCTGTTAACTGACTCACCCAAAGGCAGCAAAAGAGGTCAACAATAAAATTAGGAAATTAAATTAGACATCTTTCTTTGCATATGCTAACCATTACCACATGCTGCTTTTTCATTCATTAAGGTATTAGAGGCTTGACAGAATTGGTACTGATAAGCCCCTTGAAGACTGCTTCTTAAAATGTACCACACTGCAACAAGGAATTGCAATTTGGGTGTTCATAGACAATAAAACAGGATGTATGATAAAGTAACCTAAGTACTTGGTTTTCAAATGTAGTGATATGACTATAGCCACTTCACCCTTGATTATCATTTGATGCATGTTTTGGGTGTGACAATAAAATATGAAGTAAACAAATCTCATCATGCACTGAATTATCTCTTTAATTTAGTATTCTGAAGGGAAAACAGAGACAAACATACCCTGCAGACACAACTCTGACAATATCTTTCAGATTAAGTTTAACAGATGGCGTTAGTACGTAAGTGTCATCT